GCATGCGCTGTATGTTTCTCATTGCTATGCTGCAGTTGACTGATTGATTTTGATTTCCTTTTAATTAGCCCATATCACTTCAGATCCATATTTATCATTTTATGCAGTACATCTTTGCACATAACACTTGCCTACCTGAAGCCCTTTATGGGACATTGCTTGCAGACGTAGCATTTGGCCTGGTGCTTTGTTGACTCTGCAGCAGCCACTCGGTGAAGCACAGGCAGCCAAACCATGGACTGCGGCTCAAGGCTCATCCACTCCAGGAAGTGAGACACCTCAATAGCAGGTTTCCCTGGGGCCTGAAAAAGGAAGATTAGGGGAGGAAAGAAGCGCAGAAGACTGTAAACAATCCAAATATAGACCAGCAGCAAGTGAGATATGTAAAGTAATTAAAGAAGAAAGTATGTTTCCTTTGCTAACCTACTCGCACAAGGAGTATTGTTTTGCTGAAAATAAGGACTCAAAGAGAATAGAAAAGATAAGAGCGGGACAAAGAGCATGAAAGAAAAGGTAAACCGCTTTGAGATATCTTTCGCTTTTATGCAACAACCTAAACAGTTATAGAGCCACAGTAAAAGAGACATAAATTTAGTTTCTGTGTACACTGTATGCATGTTTGTGGGTTCTCTGTCTCTCCAGCAGATAGCTTGTTGGGAATTCCAGAAAGTGGGATAAAAAGGAAGTCAACCTAATAAAAGAATGACTCGCCAAGCGCTTAAAATCCATGATGTGCTAAATTCTCATTAAGTCTGCATCAGAGATGCATTAAGAGGTTGATTTCCCTGGGGCTCCCTCCACTGCTCAGGCAGGGTAACATAATAAATGTGTGCGTGTATGTGCACTGATCACACAGACTGTGAGGTGTACAGAGGTGTAGAGTCTCCAGGGGATGAAGGAGCTTCTCTCTGTTAGTAGCCAGCTTTGCTCCATGTGGGAGGTCAAATAGCAGCCCCTTGCATACTGAACACCTGGAACTGGCGCTGACTATGCTGTGCATGCCGCTGCATCACAAAGAGGCACACAGCAGATGGGATGTTTTAAATACCAGCAGGGAAAATAGAGTGATAAACATCCAGTTATCCATGAGAACGCCTCACAATGTGGCAATTAAACAACATGGACTTCTACGATACATCACTTTTGGCAGGATATGAAAATTGTTACGGAAAGAGTTTTTCCCATAAACTTTACACATAAAGTCACACCTTCAGCAAACACTTCTATTGTGTAGAAGCCTGTGTTTATATACGAAAAGTGATGCCCCACAAAGTGATCTACCTCACTTTCAAAGTCAAGTGGTAAACAGGCAAATGGGTCACCCCCAAATTCACATTAAATTCATATTTTAGCTACAACTAAATGCCCTGGCATGGAGCAAGTAGAGAAAGGAATTGATTTTAATCAGCCGTAGCTGATACAGCAAGCGTGGGCCAGAATAGAGCGTGTATAATTAGAACCTGCTTTGAAAATGAGGGAATTAAAAGGCCATCATTCAAGAAAAAAAACAAAAACTGTCCTCTTCCTAATAACTCAGTAATTACCTGAGGTCCCAAATTGAATGTCATGCCTTAAAGCTCTTGAAACCTACACCACATATGCAAATTCAGACAAATTTAGAACATGTAAAAGACACAAAGCATCTTCTCGTTACTTGATGTGCTAGTCACATCACGTATTGTCTAACCCTGACCCTGTAATAATGTGTTTGGTGTAGTTTCTGGCTTTTTTCGGCACAGCAGAATAATGTGTCTACTTACTATAGATGTGCACGAAGAATCTTTTTTCTTTGTAGGAATTAAAAATGTGCTAATGTCAGTAAAACACAACTTTGCAAATCTGGCAGCTTCTGATGTGAGTCGTGACACGGTTTTATTTTTATATGTGGGTTTTTATGGAACTCATCCACCAGCAAATGTTTAATTTTGGCATTCATTTTTCTCTATTTGTAATGCCGCCTTGGTGTAGACAAATTCAATTCTGAATAATTAGAGGTCTTTAATTATTTTCCTGGAGATTAATAAGTGGTTTTAAAAAATAATTGCATTACAATTAAGTTTTCAAGGTGTCTTTCAAATTCCTCATGGTAGCAATTAAGGTACTGTTTCAAAAATTGAAACTAGCACTTATGTTACAGTGCGTGAATAGGTTGAGGTATGAACAAAAAATTATCCACACAAAGGCCACAGCAGCAGGATTTGAATTGACATCTCCTCCAACACATGTTTATGTATCAGCGAACTGTGCATGCTTTGTTGCTTTTCTCTGGATTTCCTTGAGCGTGCATGCATGCGAGCGTGTCCTCACCATGCGGAAGCAGCTACGGACACTTGGCTCCACATTGCTGCCCCCAAAAGCAGCAACTTCACCCAACTGGCGGGGGATCTGAATGGCTTCGTGGAGCAGCAGGCTGAGGTGACGCTGGTCTGTTAAACCTCCTGGAGCAGACACCTGGCGGAATAAGTCTGCAAAATGTTTATTAATTAGAATTATTTAAACTGATTATACAGCAGCGCTGTCTCAAAATGTAAATTATGAATTAAATCTCAAATGAAAGCACATTAGGGTAATTAAAAGAAATGGCATACTTCATTTAAAATAAGAGCATACACGCTGAGCAATAAAATATGGAATAGATGAAAAACTTTATTACCAATGGACCTCACATTTCAGATATAAGGTTTCCAAACAAAGCACTGTGGAATAATGTTTACTTTCATGACATACAGAGAGAGACAGAATTGGTATTAGTGGTCTGGCTGGTCAGCTTGGAGATGAAAGACCTGCATAAGTAGAGTCCTGCCAGGGTTTTGAATGAGATCTTTACGAAGCTAGCTGAGAGTCAGCCTGTCGCTGAGGAGATGAATGCTGACAGGCATGCGAGGGTGCTGCACAATGCCAGTACAGGCGTTCCATGGATCCCTCTCTCTGTGCTCTTATTTAGTCCTCTTGACCATAACACCTGGGCAAGAGGACTAAATAAAGGCACATGTTAAACAGCCAGCACCATGTACACCCTCATAATTAGAACTCTGGTGTGTTGAAGTCAAAGTCAAACACTGAGCTGTTTAATTAAAAAAAGAGTTTGTTTGTTTTATTTTTTACATGATTTATAGAGAATACAGGATATTAAGTGTGCAGCTTGCAAATGTTGCAAACTTTGTAGTAAAACTGGGTTTGCTGCATGGGACAAAGATGGCTGATGACAGCACCCCATTGGGTTTTACAGATCAGGGGTAAAAACAATGAAAAAGTGTCCACTGCAGCCAGCGTCTGTACTTTTGATGCTGTATTTCCTGACCGTTGATTTTTGTTTTTTACACTGATACAAATGTCAAAGGACATAATAGAGGAAACACAAATTAAACATAACACTTAAGAATGCTGAAAAAGTACAATAAAGTTGTATTTCTGTTACTAGAAGGTTGAGGACTCAGTAGTAATCACAAGTAGGATGCTTTCCAGAATTTATTTGTCAAGGTTGATGGAATTTGTATTTATTATTTATTTATATTTACTTTTATCTATCAATTATTTTGAAAATAGGAATTTAGTGACAAATATGGACTGGTTGAACCCCTTTAACCTAGAAAAGGGGGCTTAACTCACCTCTGGGACCACTGTAGGAAAATCTGTTATCTTTCAGTCTTAGACCTGACACAGATGGTATGCCAGGCATAAATAATCTTGGCATAGGAGAGTGTGAGCATTTTTTTTTCAAATCATGTATCAACTACAAGCTGCTCCAGCTCCAACCATTGTTAGTTGAAATGCTGCCTCTCTATTTTACCAATACGTAAAGGTTAACTAACAGTTTCAGTATCTATCTACCTACCTACCTATCTATCTATAGATAACCAACCGTCTGATTAGCAGATGACCTGCTCCACCTCCTGACCTGCACTAATAAAATACTACAGCTTAATTTATGGTAAAAAAAAAAAAAAAAGATGCAGAAAGATCCTAAGATCTTTCCTAATTGACCTGTGAAAAAATGAATGGGAGCCATGAGAGTGTGCATGAATGGTGTCTTTGGCCAGCAATCCTTTTAAGGCTCCTGATGTACTTTGTACAAGTAAAAATGCCTTCTCCATAATGGAAGCAGAGTCATTTCCTCCATTAGACTAAGTGGATGTCTTTATGTAATACTGGCAATCAGGCCTGTTTTGTTTTGGCTCATTGTTTGCAGTTGAGGAGATGCATTAGGCACATGAGCGAGCATCAGACTTACATTTGTACTTCTCTTGGACGTCTGCATTGCACAAGGTCACCAATCCCATCTTGAAGCTGAGAACTCGCATTTTGCCATTTCGAGCACTGCAGAAAGAAAAGCGAAAAAAAAAGGTGTTCAAATGTGACAGTTTCTGAATGGTGAATAATCTCAAATCATGGCGCACTGGGTCATGATAATAAATTCATATGTTGCTTGAGCCCTGCTGGGAGGGACAAAGTGTGGAGGAATTACACGGGTCAAAAGAAGTGGAGTGTAGGTCAGTGCAGTAGTGTGAAATTGTATTAGAACCTAATCAGAGTAACTAAAGGCACTACTGGGACTCGGTAAAGTATCGTGTCCATCGGTTTATGCCCAGAAGAGCAATAACAAGCTCATAACAACACAATGTCACTCAGAGACGTGCATGCTTATAGCGTAAACACATTCATATATCACACTCACATTCAGTGAGCCTCAAAAATGCTGCCCCAAGCTGAAATAATAGCCAATAATCAATTGCAAGTAGTGAGACCATCGACGTGGACAATGGTGTGTCCACCTTTTTTCTCAGTTTGAAATTTTAAAAATAAAAATTGAGTATAAGCTACCATACTTTGATCTGAGGGGCCAACACAACAACACTGTCCGCAGCCAGAAAGAATTTAGTGCCGAGCTGAGCAGCATTGGCACACACCGGGCTTATCAAATTAACATTTGAAACGCTAAGTGAGAAATCAAGAACATCAAATTCATCGGAGAACTTCAAATCAATGATGTATGAAATTGAATCAAGGATGGAGAATTCTCAGAAGTAAACATTGATGCTATAGATGTGCTAGAAACAGGGACAGACACGAGACACAGTTCCTAATTCACCAACGGGTCAAAATGTGAGGTAGAGAGATTTTTTCAGGCTAGACCACTACAGTCAAATGGAGTATTCATTCCCCTGTTAGATTGAGGGCTAAAATTAGAGCACATGGGTACAACTGGCTGTCAACTCCTCTCACACATTTTCTGCTGTGTACCACATGCCATCTTCAATATGTACCCCAGCGCTGCTCTTCAGGCGACACTTCACTCCTACTCACCTTGCTAGTGCGGCATGTCTCTAGAGGACACATGTATGCTGCGATATACTGTAGGACACATTTCACTGAAAGAAAACGGCTGTAAAAATGGTCACGCAAACACACACACACCTCATTCACATTCCCCGCTGCTATCTATTGGAAAACAAAAAGCAATTACCGGAATTTATTCAGAAGGTAAAGTCCCTGATTGTCTCTCATTAGCAGCAAGTAGTTAAGAGGTACAGACTGCATTTACAGTCCTCGTGGGGTTATCCCTGGATTTCGGAGGCTGCTCTAAGGGGTTTCTCTTCGGAGAACAGCAGAAAATGGTCAATCAGGAACAAAGATGGGTGAGTGTTTGTGTCAAAGAGGATTTGTTTCGACTGTGTCTCAGAGGAGATGAATGGCTCTCTGCCTGGACAGTGTTATTGGAGGCTTTGTCACGATGTAGCTGTTTACAGATGTCTGTGGTTACATCAATGTGCAAACAGACTCTTGTTTATGACAATGACAAATTGTTCAAAATAGATTTTTTAGTAAGTTATGACATCACAAACAGTGACTGTGCATGCAGTGTGTACCATATTTATTTAATTTGATCAATGTTATTAAGTCTAGTGACCTGATGCAATAACAGTAGTGCTGAATGAGACCTGGCTCTGCAAAATCCTGATATTATGGTCATCCTAGACCCATTTCAAGCCTTTAATACTATCCTGCTCATTAAGAATTACATAAAGCATCAAGTAGTTGCAAGCAAGGATCCACTAGAGAGCAGCTGATATTCCAGATGGAAAATAAAAAACATTCAACAATCTAAGTGATTTACAGTTGCTATGTGAATTAAATCCATAGAGCCCCATATAGTTAATATAAAAGCCACAGTTTTGCCTCATTCACGGACATTCAGCAACATTGTGCTTCGAGCAACCAGTGCCTATATTGTAAGGATACTGATACTTCACTGTTGATGTTTTGTTTATATGAGCTTGGCACTGACTTAAAATATCCTGAACTGTGGGTATAATATGAAACTTTATGAGCATTATATGACAGAAATGAATGTGTCATTTATAATAAAAATGCCGCACTGCTTTGGCTTTACACTGCATGAATCCTGACCTTTTCCCTCCATACATTATTCTTCCTTGTTAATACCTGCTATCAGCATTACCCACGAGGCAGCGGCACTACTGACAGTTTGGTTGGAGAGTCAGGTGTGGTCTCGTATTCGTTTTGTAAGCTCACGTCTTTTAACTCCATTCCTAAGAACTTTTTAAAAAAAATTTTTTTTCATTAATGCTTTCAAATTGGGCAGTTTCTCTTTGAAATCCCTGATATCCACCTTCCATCCATCCATCTTCATCCGCTTTATCCGGGCCGGGTCGCGGGGGCAGCAGCCTAAGCAGAGAGGCCCAGACCTCCCTCTCCCCAGCCACCTCCTCCAGCTTATCCGGGGGAACACCAAGGCGTTCCCAGGCCAGCCGAGAGATATAATCTCTCCAGCGTGTCCTGGGTCTGCCCCGGGGCCTCCTCCCGGTGGGACATGCCCCGAACACCTCGCCCAGGGGGCATCCTTGTCAGATGCCCGAACCACTTCAGCTGGCTCCTTTCGATGTGGAGGAGCAGCGGCTCTACTCTGAGCCCCTCCCGGATGGCCGAACTTCTCACCCTATCTCTAAGGGAGAGGCCAGCCACCCTTCGGAGGAAACTCATTTCCGCCGCTTGTATCCGCGATCTCGTTCTTTCGGTCACTACCCACAGCTCGTGGCCATAGGTGAGGGTAGGGACGTAGATCGACCGGTAAATTGAGAGCTTCGCTTTTACACTCAGCTCCCTCTTCACCACGACGGACCGGTGCAGCATCCGCATCACTGCGGCCGCAGCACCAATCCGTCTGTCGATCTCCGGCTCCCTTCTCCCATCACTCGCGAACAAGACCCCGAGATACTTGAACTCCTCCGCTTGGGGCAGGAACTCATCCCCGACCCGGAGTGGGCACTCCACCCTTTTCCGGCTGAGAACCATCATGGCCTCAGATTTGGAGGTGCTCATTCCTGCTGCTTCACACTCGGCTGCGAACCGTTCCAGTGCGAGCTGGAGGCCACCACCCGATGAAGCCAACAGAACCACATCATCCGCAAAAAGCAGAGATGAGATTCTGAGGCCACCAAAGTGAAAGCCCTCCGCCACTTGGCTGCGCCTAGAAATCCTGTCCATAAAAATTATGAACAGAACCGGAGACAAAGGGCAGTCCTGGCAGAGCAGGGCTGCCCTTTACCCTATAAAACCCTTTACTCAGATTAATCAGTATAAATATAACAGAGAAATAGAAATCAGTGATGAAACATTAAAGGCAGATTAATGCTGGATTTAAACTTGTCCAACTACAAAGTATGTCTGCTGGTTGTGTCTACTTGATAAGCCACTGGTTTATAAGAGCGAAGCTGAAATACAGACACAGATACCTGCTGCAGTTCTTAACACAAGTAAGTTTTAATATATATTTCACTTTTGATTTTTTCAGCCTACTCACCTGTCATAGACGTTGAGCAGCCAGTTGAGACACATATCAACACAAAGTGGAATGTTAACCAGGACGGACCTCTCTTCCTCCAGCTTCTCATACAAAGCTGTCAGGCCATGAATCACCTCAACCACATCCATCACATGATCTGCCTGCTGCAGCTCCTGCTCCCGGAACATCTCCACAAGGCTACTCAGTGCCACTAAATCCACTAAAAAGAACACATATTTATTTAGAGACATAAATATGGCACAATATTGTGTTATGTTTACAAGCATGTGTACATGAGCTAAAGCCTAAACATCCACATATAACGACACATGACCCCACATTCGCTTTCAAACACACATACAGTCACAGCGGGATCATCATCCACACCTCAGCAAACGAGAGCATGGGTGACAGCAGCCCTTGCCCACTTAAGCCCTACCAGATGTTTCAAGAGCAGTGACACAAATTTGATTTCGCTCTTCTAAACTAATTTGATGGCCCATCCCTAAGAGTGGAGTTAAAAGGGTGTCCGTTGATGCCAGGTATAATTGGATAGCACGGTAATGTGGTAGAACAGAGTGAGATAACAGTAGTATTTTAAAGGTTGGGAGGGAATCAGCTTAAAATGTATTTCTTTTGCAGCACTACTCAATCATTCAAGACGTGTGCAGAGAGAAAAAAGAGCGAGAATTCTGCAGTTATCAGTGCAGTCTGGCAATTAAGTTCTGTAACGATATCAACTAGTAGACCCGAGGAGTGAGAGATAAGAGAGCAGGCAGGAGAAAGGAAGTGGGAACGTGACTGAAAGGGGTTTTTTAGAGTGCTCCATGCATGCTGAGTTCTTATTACAGGAACGTGGGATCTAGAAGGGAAAGAAGGTTGAAAGGGAGTGGTAAATGAAGGTAGAGAAGGTAGAAAAACAGGCTGAACATGAATAACTGAATAGGTGTGAAACTGGGCACTTTTAGGGATACCAAATACGAGAAGGTCTGTGGTCAGGGGAGTTCGAGTACTACACCAATGCTGGAAATGGATGAGATGTAGGGAAGAAGAAAAAGAAAGCAAGAAAGAAAGGCCATGTTGGAGGTATTGACCCTGAAGGGGCATACAATCAAGCTTCAACCATGCAGCAAAAACTAATTGCCTCCTATTATGTAACTCAAATGGACCAATTAATAGCTAATTACCCAGAATGCTAACGATTCAGGTCGTGATGAAAATGAGGAAGGAATCTGGCAGCAGAGTAGTTCTTCTTGTGGCTCTTGAGTTTTTCAGTACTTTTAATTGCTGCATTTCAAAGCTGACAGTATAGGAAAATGCAAAGAATATTTTGTGCCACATTTCTATGTAGGGTACAAAAGAGCGCTGATGCTTTCGACAACCGAATAAAGAAACATGCCACAGCTAATCATTATATCTCATTCCTGAAGAGAGCTTGTCACGGTGGATTAGTGATGGTGCAGGATAACTGTATATCACTTAACCAGCCATTTCAGCACAGCAGACAGAAAATAGCGTCGATGAACTACTGTACGTACGTCTCAGAGCTTTCTGAACCCGCCGCAGCTTCATTGCTGTTCTGTATGCTGAGAATTTGATGTTGTTCAGATCCGCTAATAGAAGGAGAGATGGATAGAGAGATTAGAGAAAACAAACTCATCCTGCATGACTCCGCTATACCATTGAGAAATTAGACATCATGTGTCCCCCCTGTTTATCACACCACTGCAGAAATCATTAGTAGTTTACTGTGATAATATTATTATCTGTCTGTGTGCATGCATGCCTTTTTCTAAGCTGAACACGTGTATCTGACAGCGGGCCTATCTCCCCTGCAAGCTCGCCGTGTCACATCAGATTAATGGTAAAATACATGATGTCGTTTAATCACAATTAATTAAAGGCTAAGCAAGAAGCAATCACAGAGCTGGCAAATTGGGCCTCGCAGGTTAATGACAGTAGAGATGTAGTCCCTAAGGTGTTTGAAATAAAGGTCCCTTAATGAGCTATATGACAGGACCTTCAAAGCTGAAGCCCGGTGGTGCCGTGTTACTGGTTCTGCTGCAGCCCAGTGGGGTTCCTGGACGAATGAGCAAGAGGGTGTTTTAATTGTCTCCTTACTCACCCAACGCTTGATACAGTTCTGTCATCTTTGGATGGTCCCAGCATGTCGTCTGGGCCTGATGGCTGATGGAAAGAAGATTTCATTAGGAAGGCAAAGAATCGAGGTACTCATTTTCAGGCCAGAGAGGTAAAAATGGAGCACAAATGAGCCAAAGGGGTAGAGTCTGGCAGGTGTGGCAGACAGCAAAAGGAGTGAGATGAACGAGTAATGAGTAAGAGATAAAGAGGAGAAACAGAGGGCAGAATACAGTGACCATTATTTAGGATAAGACAAAAGATTGTAGGATTGGAAAGAGCAGACATCAAAAGTTTTGTTACACTTCAGCTCTCATGGAGACCCAATCACAGTAGCTTTAAAGACTTTCCTCAGAAAAACAATATAAAATCCAACTCATATCTGCATAAAGAAAATACATTTACACTTTTCTCTCCCAAGACTAGCTCGATGGGAACATTTAAATGTAGAAAATTTAGCATCTATAAAAGAGATTCAATAGAAAGAACAAGCACAGGAATATAAATGGGAAACTCCAAATGAGGAAGCCTGCCAGCCCAGGACCCAGGAGGCTTTTAGGGCAGTGCTCATCGTTTTACCTGTGCGAGCACTCACTGATTGGTACCCAGTGGAGTGCTACTCAGATGCTACTTCCACTCCCACTGGAATAGTAATATAGCCCATAAAGAACTGACTAGTGAACTAAAGCAAAACCCATGAAGCTTTGTTTCAAATGATTAAGAAGACAAATACTTTTAGGAGAACAAACTGTACCAATGTTTGCAATACATATACAATAGTGTATGAACACACTCCTGAACAAACATATCCACGGTTCAATTATGAAATCTATAACGCTCCAAAGATAAACAGTATTGATGAGGTAAACAGATAAATGAGTTCTTGGGCAAACAGGGCTCCCAGTGGCACAACAGAATTTCGTCTTAATCATTTAGAGTTGATCCACTCTTTAACAAATATTTGGCTAATGGGAAGCATTTGTTTCTAATCTAATGAAGGTTTATTATACTCCACGTGATGGATTTGCTTGTACAATGGATACATTTTCCCAAATTGACGCAGAAAAACTAGTTTCTCTCTCTACAATCGTTCTCAAGAGGAACACTGTGTGTTATAAGAGAGTTTATTATAGGAAAAAAATCTCTAGGCATTGGTTGGTTTTTGCAGTTAAGACCTCTTAATGCCGCCCACATCTCTCTATTTCCTTCAGTGATTCAAAGGGGCCTGGGTCTGGGCGTATGGCCGATGGCTTTTTCCCCCCCAGCTTATTTCTCTACCACAAAAATAATGACAAGTGAAGAGGAGATAGGCATAGCTTGAGTATGTGATTGACATGACAAGCATTAAGTGATTTTCTATTGCAGCTTTCATGTTGACTGACACTGACGTAGCTGGAGCAGATACAACTGAAACAAGCAAAAAACAAAAACCCAACATCAACAAAAACAAAAACAAAAAAACGTCCATTAAAGGAAACATCTAACATGAGCACGATAATGGAAATAAAATCAGTATGAAAATTCAGTGTAATCATTGAACTATGATGCAGGTACTCCATGTTTCACAGACTTTATTAGTTTGCTACATCTGCTACTACAGTTTGCTACTACATATTCAACTGTCCTTTCTCTCACTGTGAGATCTCAACTATAAAAAATAAGAAGATACAAAGCAAAGAACATCCAGTAACAGGAGGCTTTATATAGAAACAGTTTACTTCGAGACACCAAATGTTAAATAACTTAATGCTACAATTATTTTCTACCAGATTAGTTGTAGTTTGAGATGCAGTTTGGGTGATTCCCAGTCCCTGGCTATGGACTGAGGGATCAGTGTGTAAACCTGTGCATTCCTGCCATGTAAGAGTCTTTGGTCAACTATTCTTAAGAAATTATCACCAGAAACTGCAAAAAGCATGTTCTGCCATTGTTAGAGATATATTTAATGCCTTGTCTCTACATAATAGTGAATGACATTTGATCTGCAAGTGTCTCCATATTTTTTCTTTCTAACTTTCTCTTGTCAATAGAATTGCAAAGCCTTTGTCTGTTTTTGTCTGACGATGCATTCATCTTGCTTTAATAAACTCCTCTAGCATTGTAAATAGACAGCACTGACTAAGGCTTCTGTGATTAGTGTTCTGTAAAAAGTGAGCACAGAACATTTGGCCATACCTATAAGACCAGACGTAAAAATACTGCACCACAGGTAAAAATGCAATATGTCTACCAGCTTTGAAAAATAGCAAATGAGCCCAATTTTGATCTAACGACTTAATCTGCCGTGGAAAAAGTACATTTGCTCCGACAACACAGACACTGACCGTGAAGTTGCACTTACTTGATGTAGTAGGGCACTTTGTTTGGGGAGATAGCACGCTCCCATGGTATCTGCACCGAACCTGTACAAATACAGAGAGACAAAATCTATTTTGAAATAGGGATGTCATGCATGAACAGCCATTGTGCACAGTGTCCCTGTCAGCATGTCCAGACACCATATCCATTCAGGCCTTCTTAACAGAGCTAAACAGGCACAGTACAGCCAAAGAGACAAGTCTATTGTGTGGGATTTCCACAGAGTATTGGTTTGTTTGGCACGGCGTAATAGAATACTGGAGGTAGAGAAGACGGTGACACGGGATGACTGTAGCATTTAACGGTCCCCCCAAACGGAACCACAGGAGATTCAGCAAAGAATCAAAGAGGGTGCAAAGACAATACCAAATTACACTCCATGTCACTGCCCATCACTGTTTAATGACATGGGACAATGCAGACCTGTGTGCTCTGTATCTATAAAACACACCAAATCACATTAAAAACACTAGCACATAGGTGAAGTCAATAATTGATCATCTTGGTAGTTAGTTGGACATCTACCACTCACCCTAACAACCCTTCCAAAGCAACAGCACAGTAGCAGTGCTCCTAACAACCTGCAAAACTTTTGACCGGCTTCCATCTCAAAGCTTCCCAGATCACATTGTAATCGCTAGAACAGGCCTGATACACGGAGGCAGCACCTGCACCTTAAAAGACCCAAAGGACTCACTGCCAACTTCTCCATGCCAGACACATCTCAGGACTGAGTCCACGCCTCAGTGCGTCAGAGCCGTTTTTGGCAGCACAGGGGGGAACTACACCAGGCAGGTGGTTTTAATGTTTGAGCTGATCACAGTACACACAGATACACACCACAGCTGAAGTAAAAGTACTAATATCAGACTATAAATATTCCACTATAGGGCCTAATCATGCTATGAAGACTAAATATACTCGTCTTGACATAAGTGTAAATATTACATCATTATTCGCCAAACCTATTTTTTCTAATATCTGCTTTTGGGGAAAGTTTCACTTATTCGTGTATCGCACCACTTCAGAAATTGGGTCGTACTGCTAGCAACTAAAATATATTAAGTGACTCTACTAGATACAATACAGCTTTTTTCTTCAGAATCACAAAGTAAATTATTTTGAATATTCTTAATACTTAACAGTTTTGTGTCAACAGAAATTGTGTGCATATATATGCATATCCATGTCCTATATGGAATATGAAACAAGCTGAAATATAGGCATGTTGGTGCATAAAACCACATAGACATAAACCCAGACATCTCTGCAGGGCATAGTGGGCTGAGCTGGCAGTGAAGTAGTGCTATATAAGCCCCAGTGTGGCATCTCTGATCCAGCGTGACAGCAGTAAATCTGGATGGGGTTGGTGAGGACACTGGAGACACACAAGTACACGCCAACACTTCAGATGCACTTGCACAGAGAGATCCCTGCATCATTCAGCCTCTTCACTTCATCAGTTTAAACTAGGCAAGGTAAATCCAATTTTTCAGCCCCCTACAGCCCCACCCCCACCCCTACCTTCCTGCTACTCCTTTGTAGTCTTTGAAGAGCAGTAGGTAAAAGAAAAGACAGAATTCACAAATATGTATCCCTGCTCAAATGAGAGCAATGACTCTTGTGATGAGCTTCACCGGGAATGCTCGTCACAGCAGCGTGCTAGAGATGATAAAGACAGATGCACAAAAGCCTCCCAGCTCCACCTCTAACCCAAATGCACACACAGCCCAGTGCGGGCACACACACAAACACAGCAATTAATAGTCTTATCACCATTAAACTGTAATACACCTAGGCTTCTTTTCTCTGCCTCGGCACAGGGTGGTACAGAATGGTGCAACATGAAGCACCAACTTCAAATAGCAGAAAATGGCTCTTACTGGAAAGGAAGTGCTGCGATCCGGGGCCAAAGTCTCTATGTGCATCCTGGAGCTGCTTCAGCCGCTCCTCTATGGAACCCTGAGGACACACGCAAACACACACATGCAAAGTCAAATCAAAGGGAACCGTGCTGTTCGTCCCTGCACCACAAAATCCCCACAAAAGAAACGCACACACACAGACCACCTGCTTCTCCTCCATTAGTTAACCGCGGAATATAAATTATGTCTTTTTTTTTATCTGCTGCTCCTCTTGAAGGACTTTGAGAGCCTTTGAAGAGCACGAGGTAGGAAATGTAGACTGATATTAGAAAATAATATGTTTTGTTGAAACAAGAGCAGTAGCTTCTGGATGCAGTGTCAGTGCAGCTGGGGGGGAAAGGAGGAAAAGAGGATGACATGAGTGAGAGAGATAGACGAGTGCAAGAGCTCACGTGTGCTGGGTAAATAATCACGGAGACCGTGGAGTTGACAAAATTAAGTTTGCCACTGCCTTTGTAAAAACATTTCATCAGTTATGTTCCCCACCAAATGGGATTTAGTCTGCCTAATCCTGGTTTATTTGAAATATATTGGATTTGGCACTTGAATCGTTGTCAGCTGGATGTTGAAACGCATCCTCAAACAATGGGAGGTAAATCCACTCTGTGTGAGGTAGACAGATAAATTGAGAAAAAGAAACGAGTGGGAGACTGTTAGACTCCAAAAAGATGCACCTGCAGTGGGATATAATTTGTAAAGATAGATATATATTAAGTTAACATCTCCCGGTGATATGTACACATATCATTGCTCCCCTGTGTGATTTAAATTGGTTGGGACTAATATAGAGCACTGTCAATGTGCCGAGGAGATACAACTGCCAACTGTTCTGTGTTGTAAAATCTATTTGCTGTACAGGCAATTTGGGTTGCCATAAGGAAGACAAATGACTAAATTATCCATGATCGACAAATATTAGCAAATCAAATTTTTGCTAGCGTCAGTCCAGCCAAATAAACAGGGTACAGGATGTGGCTGGGATTTAAAATTTATCATTTTAATTAAGACAGCAAAACGTGACTCCAGAGAGCGCGACAAAGGAGGAGGTTTCTCCATTCATTTCAAATTAATTGAATTGAATTCAGTTTTTATTTTTAAAGCACCAAATCACATGAATAGGTACTTTATATTGTTCGCTAAAGACCCTGCAGGATTGTTAGTCCTCACCAAGATACCACATCTGCGCATCTCAACTCCCTTATTTTTATACTGTGAATGCAGAAAGACAGCAGCTCAACTAAAGTACAAGCTAGGCAGCTCAAACAAGATTGAAATGATTTTCTCTCATTTTTAACATCTATCTCTTCAAATGTTGCTTGGGCCCTACTACAATCACAGAAAATCTGAAGGAAATCTAAAATCTGGGAGATGAATATCTGCTGGTGTCTATGGATACTCAAAATCTGTTTACCACACTGTACATCAGATAAGCTTTCATCTACCTTCATTTACCACCTAAATCAAAGACGAGAGGGCACACGAACTGTGCGGCACATAGCTGCTTCAAAGATATACGTAGCAGGAATAGTTGCTGTGAAAGAACTTTTGCATGGAGACTCCTTTTACAATTTATGGACATAAATTAGGAGCAAGATAAGCCAAACCCTGCTCTTTCTTCATATACCAAATTGAATAAGAATGTAATGTAAGAATCTAATATAAGAATGCAATAATACTCAACAATGCTTCTTAAATGAGTAGAGAGGAAACACATTGTAGATTTGCATTTGATTTTGTACTTTTGAACACCATGTTTAAGAAATGGCTACATACACTTAGGTATGATTATTGATGGTTGGTTCTGGAGTAAGCTTGTTAGGTTTGGCTGTGCCAGCAGGGGGAAACTTAATTTTTTTTTACTGTAAAATCTCAGTGTAAGCAATTAATTAAACTGCTGGTGTTTAAATTCTGGTTATGACGACTTTCTCTTTGGGTCTGAGCAGGATTTGAAGATTCCCAGTGGTCTCACACCATCTTTAATTTTTGTACATGTTGTGGTTCCTGTCAGCTTCATCAAGCCATAACCTCCCACTTGTAGTGGGACAGTTTGGAGCCAAGTGGAAAGTGATTGGTGATGAGTGATGAGAATTAGCACCTCTAAGTGGGAAAGGGAGGGATTTTGTGGAAGAGTTCTGGTATCTAGGGATGGTGTTTATGAGTAGGGGTAGACTGATGTGGGTAATTGTCAAACAGACTGGTAAAGCATTTGCAGTGATGCGGCATAAAGTAGTATAATGTGAATATTTAATTGCTTTTGTAGATTAGGCAACCCAATCTGAATAGCACGGCTGGAGGGTAAACCATCAATAGTCTGTAAATGGTTGTGCGTTAACAGTACTGGGCACTGCTGCAATCTAATGCCACCTGTCAGAGTTAGCACTTTCAGCATGTTTTTTGCATGTTTATTGAGGGTGAAAAAAGCTGCTTTGTGTGGACCTCATCTCTCCCTTTAGCCTCGTGTTTTATTCCTGTCACTAGGCTAATGCTAGCTGTGACAATGGATGACTGGGGTTTTCAGCACGTGTGAATGTTTTAAACAATCATCTAAATTTCTCTCATTAACTCTTACCAAAGAAAAATACATCTACAGCAGAAGTGGTGTAGGTTACTAATGTATAGAAATAAAGACTCTGTGGGAGTATCTTACTGGTTTGCAAGCAAAGGCCAGTGAACTTAATTAGTTCACCACTAAAAAGACATATCACAATGACATGGTACCTGATAACAAAGTACAAGCTTTGTCTTACACCCACACATCCACTGCTTGTATTACTGATTGTAGGGAGTATATTCTCTACATTAAAACATTTCTGCAAAGAAGTTCACATTTTTCCGGAGAGCTATTTTTGAAGCTTTGTTGTGTCATCTACCCACCTAATCTGTTTGGTTCTGAGTCTCATTGTTCACTGATAACACATTTAAAATTTAACCATATTTAGGATTACATGCTTAGAATTAGAATAGGGGGTTGCTTGAAAGCATTTCAGTGACAGTCTATAGTATTGTAAGCATCATTTAAACAAGTGGAAAACCATTGAGTAGTTGTGGAAATGTTACATTAAGGTGCATGAAAGGGAAAAATCATTCAGAAAAATCATATTCACCCTATATTACTGTACAATAAAAGAGAAAAAAAATCATGGAAGTTGAACTTATTTTGACGAGATATTTCTGTACCAACATGGTGGGTGGACTAACTGACAGACAACTATTGCCATAGAGCATCTACCTACAAGTTTTCAGGCTAGTTATTGAGAAAATCTTTAGAAAGCACTGACACATGATTCTTACAGGGCTGCATTATTATTGTTTATTTGTTATTTCTTTCAGTCCCACAGAGAGCCTGGAAAAAAAAATCTCTTGCTGACAAATCAAAGGCACGGCTTCTCTATAGTGGTCTGTTCTGTTTTGTTTTGTTCTGTCCATGAAGTGCTCAGAGCTACGGACGCAATCTGAAAGTCACACTGAGACAAGTCACAGCGAACGTGCAAAGTGGGTGCTAGGAATTAACTTCTAAGAATAGTTTAACAGACACTGAAAATCATCATGCTCAGAGTGGAGACACCTCACGAGGAAACAAGGCTGGAGTGGCAATCATCATGTCAGGGTGTGGAAGAGGTGTCATGACAGTTATCTAATGGGAAGGGGATGTTCTCACAAGAGATGCAGTGAAGGCTGAGAGTTTTGTTGTGCTTGCAGGAGTGTTACTAGGTTACTGATGGCGGGTAAAGCCTGTGCTTGAAAAACACTGCAGTTAAAGTAATGCACAGTAGATAATGCATCAACTAAGCATTCTGCTAAGCACTGAGAGGAAGCCAAGTTCAGTTCAATTTTTAAAGGGGGTTAAGAGTAAGTGCTTTCATGGCACTGATGAATTACCCTCTTCATTTAAGTGCATGGGTTTAAATATATGTTCATCTCATTGGTGCACTGATGTACACTCACTGCACACTTTTCCTATTAGAAACACCACCAGATGGATAAAGCTGTTGTATGCAGTCAAGACAGACTCTGTTGTCATTGGTACATTTCTTACCAATTGTGCCCTACACTGACGTGATTTTATCACATTATATTCTGCAGATTTATGCTATGAATCCATTCCACCACAATGGCACTAAAATAACTATAACCATGCAGAATATTGTTATAATAATATAGAATACCATTAGTACACATTAGCTTGATGGCTGGCTTGGGTAAAGGCTGTGACACCACTGACAGACAGCTAGAGTGAAATGGAGCATTAGAGTGAATAAAATTATAGATTTCTCCAAATGTGAAAATCGCGGCAAATATTTGCGATCAAGTGAGGACAAAAGTCTGGTAAAATATATAATTTAAAAACAGAAATGTTCCGTATTGTTTTACATTCTTCCTTATAATGTCGTTTCAGTTCATTTAAGTTTGCAGGTATTTGTTTATGCACAGCTCCTTTAAGCACAGCATCTCAATCAGGTCGAGGTCTGGACTTTGACTGGGCTTATGCAAAAGAATGGATGAAAATGATTAAAAATCACGGTAATGCAAATTTGCTGCTGTTCTTGGGAACATTGTCCTGCTGCATGACATGATTTTGACACATTTGACTCAAGAATCCTTGGCTATACAGAGGAGGTCATATGCAACTCAGTGCCTGCAAGGTGCCCAGGTACTGAGCTTGGACTGGTAGTGCTGGGATGCCCACCTCTGGCATTTAGTTAACACGCACAGGAGCGCCACAGACCAGGAAACTGTCAAAACCTCTGCTGTTATAGAGGTGGTCACATTTCATGAAGTGCTGCTAATCATGTGCTTTTGATTAGCAACACCTGGCTGCTATATAATTAATATAAAAAAATACAAGATATGAAACCTGTGATTTAAAAAAAAGGCTGTATTTCAACAAGAAGGGAATAATATATAAAACAGGAAACGGAGAGGAGAAACAACTCCACAAATTAGTCAGTATTTTACAGCAGGAGTGTTGTTTTACTTTTTTTCTTCTTCTTGTTTTATGATTGATTTCACACAAAGTCACTGTTAATGAAAAAATTGTACACTAAAAATGAAAGAAACAATACATGTTTTATGAAGTCCCCCTAAGGTTTTAAAGCTTCTTAAGGTTTTTTAACCTCCTCCAAGTGGGTAGGAGGCACTCATTACTTTTTCCCTATTGTTATGCCTTCAATTGTAATGGTTTAGGGCTCTTAAGCTTATGAAGGTTATGAATGACTCTAAATAATTGTGACCATTAAACATATTTAATAACAAATGTATCTACATTCCTGCTCATTTCCTTAGTTTGAGCTCCCTTAAAAAGAGAAAGAGAGGGAAACAATGAAAAAACGAGCTCATCACAGGAATGAAATGCCATTGGAAAAACAACAGATGTTCTTAAAGCAGGTTAATATTGTGATTAGTATGTCAAGGCTGCTGGGATTTGATACATTTACATGCTCCCAATGCAAATCCAACATTCACTCAGCCAAGTTTATATACTATTAGTACGAGTTTTGAAACTTATTTTTATTCTGTGGGAAAAGAAAAGACAAAAACCAACGTCACTGCAAAAATAACGAAGAAGAAATCAAAACTTCAAGCGCAACTTGGTTTCATTTAACACATTCTATAAATATTCTACATTTTGACCTTAAGAATGTTTTATTTTCCCTGAGATTTATAAGCAATAAGCATACAGACGGTGAAAACAGCTAAATAGACTGCCTCTAAAGCTCAAAATACATTTACCAACACATCCAACCAGCTTAATAATTTTAAGGCAACTTTTCTATGAGACTCACACACAAACAGTAATGTATAATGACACTGTACTTTGGCTGTGGATTTTTTAACTAATCAAATAGCTATATTTCTCTATCCAGTTTTTTCACTTAGATTTGATCTAATCTGATAAATTTTCCCAAACAAACATATGTTCTAAAATTTTATACTCTTTCTTTAAAATTACCAATCTTGTGATGTTGTTATCCAGTGGCTTCAACCGTTCTGTGAGTTAAGTGAGAGATACATCATTGATCTTTCAGCCTGCAAACATACTCTGATCTTCCTCTTAAATGGTATGAAAACTCTTCATCACGCACACGGCCCCTCATCAATGTCCAAAAGCACACCTCTGTGCTCAAAAGATGTGTAAAACATAAAACAGTTGGAAGCCAGAAGTATAGACACCATTAAAAGTCCAAACATTGCACATGGAATCACTCTCTTATGTCCTCTTGAATGTGACTGCTGCACAACCTGCTGCTGACAGAGTCAAACAGGCACTATGGACCCAGTAGTGAACTCTACCTGAAGCACTTTCCATCTGCTGTTGAGATGCTCCAGAGCACGGGCATTCTCCATCGATAAATGGACGTCGGAGATTGCCAGCTGGTGGGCTAGATCATTGATGTGCTTCATGCCCTCTTTCACCTGGGTCAGTTCCTCCTTAAATAACTGGATGGAGCATGAGCGAGGACAAGAAAAACAGAGGACCACAGGGAGTTGGACGTAAACAGGAGTAGTGGGAAAAGAGAGGGGGGAAACAGATTAAATACAAAATATTGAACAACATCAGACATAGATAGAATTATAGCGCAATCCAGAAACATCCAGTCTGGACCAACTACATTTAAATTACATTTTTTTTAAAAATCAATGGAAACTTGATCCGTTATAGCTTTCTGGTCTGTTTTAGAAAGAATTTGGCAGAAAGCCATGTTTGAATGTCTTAAGATCAGAAGAGAGAACAGTACTGAAACTGAACCAGCCCCTTTTTATAGTGTGTAAACTGAGAAAACCAGAAAATTTGTAAAATAACTAAGATGGAATGTGAGTATATGCATGCCAGTGTCCCGTGCATTTTGCATTGTTGGTCGCAGTACTGTGCAATATTTCAAAATCTGGTTTTGATATGATACCAAGTAGATACAAGGCCACTATCCTAAAGGTAGCTTACATAGGGGAGAGCAGAGCATATGAAACGAAAGCACCATTAATTTTCTAAATCCCAATACATTTTCATGACCATGATTGTTGCTTTCCACCGTTAATTAGTTAAAACAATAAAGCACACATTTCACACTTTTTCACGTGTTTTGAAACACTGTTTTTTGTAGCTCTGGAGTGGAAATAAACTTGGCCAGAAAGTACTTTGGGTCAACTTCTGTTGTTTTCAATGTGCTATATAAACAAAATAGTCCAGGCATTTTCATAGTTCACATTTGCTTCATTTATTTTTTCCCCCAACTGCAATGAAATAATTCATTTATCATATTTCAGTGGGATGAATGTATTCAGTCAAAGGGAATCATTCTGCTACAGTAACAATAATGATGAACACTAAACCTGTGAAAGTTAGCTAATGCTGAAGATCAACGCGAGTAATAACTGAAACATCATTTTCACCACTATCCGCGTGTTCTTTGCCTCTCTGAAGTACAACTACTTGTCTACAAGCACTCGTCACTTTTCACAGTGAAACATGGTGATTGCAGCTGTAAGTTAAACTTTTACTTTGAAGGGAAATGGTTCATTTTCAGTTTTCTTCACCCTCACAGTTTCTTCACATTTGCAGACAAGTCGATACCTTCCATGAAAACTATGGGCAATCTGCTCACAAGCCAGTGTTTTTATTTTGTTGACCAATCATTTCTCATGCAGAATGCGCTCAATTGCTTCTTTTGATGTCAGAAAATTAATCCCTGAACCTCTCAAAATATGCTACCCCAGCAAAAATGAAGAGTTAATAAAAATCATTGGAAATATGAAAAACAGTAAAAAATAAATAAATAAATACATAAATAAAATCTGATATTTTATTTTTACTTTTACAAATTATGTAAGTATTTCTTTTTCATGCAAGAAGAGTTATTAAAATCTTTTTATCAGTTAGTCTGTATATAATATAAAAGTTATATTTGGATTTTGAGTGTTGATCAGATGAAACAAGACTAAAAAAAATGTAACTTTAGGATGTGTGGAATGTAGAGTAGATGCTGCAGATCTACTCTACATTTGAATGCAAAAGTGTCTAGTGTACTTTTATAATTGCATCCTGTGTGCATCCATGTGTCTGTTTTTGTATATGCATGCACCCATGTGTAAGCACAAGGGAGTAAAGGAGTACAGATGACGCCAACTGACAAGCCTGCCCTAAAGACTGAGCTGAACATGTGCTGGCTGTGACAGGAGTCCAAACAGTGACATGATTATTGTGAAGTGCCCTCGCTTCTAATGAATAGCGCCGCACAATTACAGGCAGCGGCAACAGAACCAATGACCTGTCATTTGTTTAACAACATCTATTCAGCTGAGATTTGTAACTCCTGCCACATCGCAGTGTCATTTTGAAGGGCCTTGTCATCATCTGTCAGATTACAGCCTTTCTGGCAGGAATGTGCATGCAGGCAACAAAAAACAATCACTTTAAAGGAACACAGCTTGAAACAGATCACCTGTTTATGCAGGAGGATCGCATAATTGTGGTTTTTAGAATTGAAAAAAAAAAAAAAAAAGCTGGATGTCATTTTTTTGATGTTTGTTTGAGACATGTTGCAATGTGTGCTTTTTCAGAGATAGCCAGAGGCGATAATCTCAAAGGAGACAATTCGTTTACTCTACAGGTAAACCCAATTTAGATTAGTGAGGGAGAGATAAGAGAAAAAAAAAGAGCCGAGAGTGTACTGCAGATCGGTACCTTGGTAGCATCTATGTGGTCCTGTAGAGAGTCAATGAAGAGGTCTCCAACAGGCTCCCAGGCATCCCTCACCCCCTCTGCCTGCTCCAAGGCCCCTGCAAGCTCTTCCATTGCAGCCTGGATCTGAAGAAGACGCTCCAAAGTCCTTTCCATATGTCTGGAGGTTTTGTAGAAAATGCAACTTTTTAAAGTTAACTACCCGATCAATTAAAATCTGGAATCAGTGTGAGGAAATAAATCAATCAAAATCCATGGAGCATGCAGTGAAACAACCCATTTATCCAAATTTACAGGCTGTCATTTCAATAAGGCAGTGTATATAAATATATATTTCATTCCACCAGTTCTAAATGGCTTTTGTGCAAAAACAAGTTTCGATATAGAGAAAAGTGAGCTCTGAATTTTCACGACTTCAAACCTTGATAAATGTGTTTTCATAATTGTTTCTGTAATGGATTATAGCTGCCACATTTTGTAATCAGGTTATGGTAATTGTATTACATGAAATATATTGCTACATAAACCTGCTGTGGAGGCACACACACACAGTCATGGGAAGAAACAACTCTTGGCTTTAAAACCATAAAACACACACATACAGGCATTGTTCTCTTGTATGGATGTATGATCTTATTTTTTGATAAAATAAAAAAGTTTTATTATAAATATACACCACAATCTCATTCTTTTAAACAAACACAGTGGCTGTAGCTCAGGAGGTAGAGCAGATCACCTACTGATCAGAAGGTTGGTGGTTCGATCCCTGGCTCCTCCAGTCAAGTATCCTTGGGCAAGATACTAACCCCAACTTGCTCTCCGATGCATCCATCGGAGTATGAATGTGTATGAATGTCGTTAGAAAGCACTAAGTGTAGATAAAGTGCTTGTGAGATTGGGTGTGATTGGGTGAATGAGGCATGTTGTATAGAGCGCTTTGAGTACTCCGTGAGAGTAGAAAAGCACTATATAAGAATCAATCCATTTACCAATTTAATTGCTCTTTGAACCTTTTCCATTTCATTTTTTATCTACTTCAACTTAATTTGTAGAGCTCATTTTCTCTTTTTGCTAAATTTCTAAACACAGTAATTTCCTAAAACTTTAATCTTTAACAGCTGACAAAGGTTAACCACAAATACAAGACAGATTTAATTTCTTAAACATGATTCAGAAATTCAGAAATGATCTAATTTACCCAATAGCAGAGTAAATTGACACCAAGAATGGGTAGAAATCATCTAAGACGAAAGGAAGAAAAATGTGGAAAAAACCGTCTTGAAAAATTAATTTTTCCTTTTCCATGTTTATGTTTCATATTTAAAACTCCATACAATTATATACTCACAGGCCAATTCATTAGTTACCAGCACTGGGTGTAACGTGCTATGTTTAACATCAGAAGACGTTTACAGTACGGTCCTAAAGGAAATGCTCTGCATAAGCTTGGTTGTAACAAATGGTTATTTGAGTTATTATTGCCTTCCACTCAATTTAAGCCAGTCTGTCCATTCTCTTCTGACCTCTGTTATCAACAAAACAACTTCTCTTTTTCTAATGATTCTTTGTAAACACTAGAGATGGTTGTGTGGGAAAATCACAGTAGATCAGCAGTTTCTAAAATACTAAGACCACCAGATTTGGTGCCAGATCACTTAAATCACCTCTCTTCCCCATTTCCTCTGATGCTTAAATTAAATTTCTGAAGGTTATCTTGACCATGTCCAAATGCCCTCAGTTAAGTGCATTAATAAGCAGTTAAAGAGGCGGTTCAGATGAAGTGTACTAACAATCTTCAACTATCACAATCTCGAATATTTGCTGTATATTACATGTAGATTGTATTTTTGCAGATTGCACAGTATGCCCTGAACAATGTATTGTAATGAATGTTCCATGCTGTTTTTACAGACTATTGTTTTCAGCATCGATTAAATTATTTTTAAAAAAAGAAAGAAAGTAATTGCCACATGGCTATGATGACAAAAAACACTTGCTAGATATGGTCTGTGGACCCTGATTAAGACTTAGAGTTTATGCCAATTTGCTTGAAATATAAACTTAACATATCACTCAGTTTTCTGTGGTAATACTTGCACTACATGATATCTACTTCTCTTTTATCTCTTTTGGTTTTGTTTTTTGGTTTGTTTTGCTTTGTTTTTTTAATGAAACAATTTTATTATTTGATGTTTGGTGTTCCCAGAAGTGTCGGAGGTTTTGTGAAAGTAGTTTGAAAATTGTTTTTTTTTTTTGATTATTTGAGAAATAGGAAATGGTTTCAACCAATCTGCTTAAGTAATTCTGAGAAACTGTAATATAATTATGACAAATATGCATTTCTTTTTCCTTTTTCCATTAACTCCATTCCATTATCTCTGTCTTTATCTGTCTTGTTCATTATACATAGACTACAGAGTATACTGCGCGGACTCACAAAAGCAAAAAGAATAATCACATATGCCACACCTCTCATTTATATTTAATCATAAGCGAGCTTTAGTCACTCTTCATGACTAAAAGAAAAATAAAGTAATGAATAACAAGTTGTCCAATAGTTTCTCAGGCACAGAGACCACAGAATTTGTTTTATTCACTGATGTTTTGTCATTACTAGTTTAATTTAAAAACACTAATTACTAAAATTGTATTGGCAAGGCCTGCAGAGGACACAAATACTTATATTCTGAAGAAAGATCTAAAAATAATTTTCCTTGTACTCAACTTGATTAAAAATTATGACAGACAAAGAGTACAGAGTCCCAGTGGTGGAATAAATGAAGGGACGGATAATAACCCAGTAAATCTACAGCGTACTTGAATAGAAGTATATATGAATTATCAGCAAAATGTGCTCATCATACTAAAAACTGGCCATTGTGAGCAACATTATATTGATTGAATTATGGAATGTGTAAGAAGGCTTTTACTACTGTATCGGGTAAGGATTAAGCCAAAAAACCCCACAAAAAAACAGTTCTACTATGCTATCTTGAATTCCTCTAATCTTTCTTTAATCTCTTGGGGGGCTTAATCAATTATTTAAACAGAACTAAGTTCAGAGACTAAATGTATCTTTGGTAAATTTTCTAGCAACTCCTAGATATCTGAAATATGACAAGCTGTCAGATAAATGCAGTAAAGTAAATTTTACCCTGGAGTTTTGTGGAAGCAGAAGGTGCCATCCAGTGGGAATACTAAAGCACAAGTATTTCAAATTCACAATTAAATAATCCTGATAAACTATAGTAAACAATCCGAGTATGGTTTCTTTTCACCAGTTCAGAAACCACCCTTTATCAGAACAAGATATTTTATATATATATTACAAATAAAAGAGTCTAACCTGTGGCGGTCCACACAACGTGCTGTCAGTTTTTCCCACAGGTCACTGGCTACGTTCGCCTGCTTCCACACAGAGCGGCTCACATTCAAGATCCGCCGGCGTGGAGACACCTCTGTGGAAGATGGAAGAGGTTTGATGGGGTCATGCGGAGGTAACAGCATAAAGGTGCAAAAGAAGAAGTAATAAACGGGAGCATACGGAGAAATAACAGGGTGAAGAGAAGAACGGGGGGTTAGAAGTCAGCCAAGAGAAGAGTAATGATTTAAGAAGGATGGCATATCAACTCGATGAATAGAAACAGGGAAAGAGAAAGGCAGGGGGCCGCTCATGTTGGGGAACACAGTAAGGTTGATTGCTAGAGTATTCCCTCAATGAGCAGCCAGAGGTGAGAGCCAAACACTACAAAGAGGATGTAACCGTGGAGAACCAGAGGAGCATGCTGTATTATTGATCTGAGCAGATGGTACTTTAGAGGTGGTGAACTAGAGCTAATTGGTCCTGACCCACACATTTTCCCAAAACTCAGTGTGACACGAGAGGACGGATCACTGCTAATGACTACTAATGGAACGTTTCACCTGCATGGGTCCTACCAAAGGAACTCAACTAAGGGGGGGTGTATGAGTATGACATTTTGGCTGGAGCAGCAGTTGGCACAGCCGATGGAGGGAGCAGACCTTTTCCATCGGTCAGGGTCTCCTCGGGCTCCTGGAAGGGGTGCTGAGCCAGAAATGCCTGGGCAGACTCCAAGACAGAGTAGATAAATGGCCCACGGGACTTGACATCCTCCATGAATGCCTGCAGGGATACAGAGATGGAAAAATGTAAAACTATCTCCAAACTTAAGGGCTTTTTCCTCAAAGGACGATGAGGAAGACATGGAGCTGCATCTACTCTCAGAGCATTCTAATACTTAATTATGCAAAATAAATCATCAAATAACTGAAATATTATTATTATTAGAAAATATTATTTCAGTTATTTGATAAATGACATTAATCACCAATCATTGTAACCTCTGGGCTCTTAAACTGCTTTTTTGAAGTTGTAATGTCAAACTTTTTCTGGCTTAGTAAAAAGTAGAGATAGATTGGATATTGGTCCAGTGGTGTTAGGCATCAGAGACAATGGGCAGATGCATGGTTCATCTGTTCAGTTCAGGTCTATGTTGTTCTGTGTTTACTTTGCCATGTGACAGTAGCTGCTCTCAGCAGAGCTAGCATCAAGGAAGCAAACAGCAGGCGGTTTAGAGGTGTATCACAGTTTTCTATCTTTGCGAATGGTTTTTACTTAAACTTTAAACTGTGATCAGAGTGAATTGACATGACTCAAAAACATCCAGCGATGACAATGGTTGTTGATTTACTTTCACTTTCATCATGTTCACTCATAGATTTTACCCGAGGAGCTAGAAGGTCACTGGTTTAGTGTAACAGTTGTTGGTAAGCTTTTACCACACTTACAGTAATACTGTATACTGTGTTGTTGTCAGTGCCATTAATTATTATTTCACTAGTGTGAGGAGGAAAAGGGAGAATCTACTGTGGCTGTAAATGACAGCAGTTTGTACCCTAATGTCTCTCACTTTGATCTGAAATACAACCAGTGTAGTCAGTCTAGTTGCTCCTTCAGCTCCTGGTACTTCTCTATTTTCTCGTGCTCCTTCTTTCTCATGTTGCTGTCAGCTACAATTGCGTCTCTTACAACTGCAGTCTTCTTCTCATTGTCAACCACTTCTATGTCTGGTTCACTGGCCAACAGCTGCTTGTCTGTCTGGACCTTGAAGTCCCACAGGACCTACGCAATCACTTTCATGGTCTCCCATTGGGAATTGGGGACTTCTAAAACACATGCACCACAAATGTTCCTGTACACTATCTCAGTCACTTGGTTGTGCCTTCCAGTGTGTGGAAAAAGTAACATAGAAAACTAGTCGAGGTACACAGCACTAGCCTTAAGTAACTGTAATCTACTAGTAATACCAGACCAAGGATTTTTTGAATGCAAGTCAAACAACTTTTATATGCCATAAAAATCATCCAAAACACAAAATAGAAAGAAGTTTACATAGTAATGATCACCAGCTGACAAGTCTACCCAAGCCTAATATCAAAATATCAGCAAAACCGACTCTATTTATTTATTTTAAATCAAATTCATTTGGATTTACTTAAGATACTCAATAACAGGGTAACTATGAGCAAAGTTATTTAAACATATCTGAAATCTGGATGCTGGAGATAAGACTTTATGAAAGTTTCTCTTTGTGAAATCACCAGTGGGACAAGTAAAAATGTAGCAAGAAACCCTCTGAGTATACTGGTTAGAGCAAGGGTGTGTTTGACGTCTATGAATTTTTCACTTGGTGAGAATAAATATTTTATTTTTTCCTTCAGAGATTGCATAACCTTCCTTAAAGATTACAACATGCCACACAGATTGTTTAGCTAACCTATTTAAGAAACACTAAATGCCGTACATAAAATTAACTTGCTCAAATGCATGGGTTACTTAACACAATCACTAAACACACATACACACACACACACACGTTCCAGTGAAGTTACACAGCTCTCTGCTCGTGATGAGAGCCCAGGGCGCATAGGACTCTACTGGGTGCACTGGTCATCTGCCCTTCAAGCACAGAAGAGCCAATTAGCTCAAGAGCTCAGCTCCACTGGGTCACATTCAACAGTACTCACTATGCAAATTACAGACAAGGAGTCCAGTGTGTAAGAAAGCGCAAACACATATACACACCTTCACTATTACTGAGGAGATAGCCAGAGCCTTCCTGGGGCCTCAAAGAAAGCCAACGTGTCAACCTTCTCCATTCTTCTGCACTAATCTTTGTTCTGTTTAAAACATAGCGCAGGTGTGAGAATTAATGCCAGGGATATTTCCTCTCTTCAGAGTAATTTATTTAGGTGAAGCCAATGTTCTCAATCCTCTTACGGTATAAAGAGATTACATTTTCAGCTAAAAATCTACATTACTAGCTGGAATTAGCAGTGCTGTGAGCCACTGCAGGGACAGTGTTTCAGTGTCTATGAAAATCCCCAGGACCAGAGCCCGGCAGGCCTGATAACAGGCAGCGAGTAGAGTGAAACAGAGAGCCCCAAATGAAACACCAGCAAACACCGGCCGCCACCATGCAAACATGCAAAAGTGTGGCACGACGGGGAGCTGCGGCAAGAGATAAGATTCCCAGTGCAACAGTCTTGAAGAAAACCTGCTTTCTGTCTTTTTCCTCTTCCTCTCTCACACTCTTTCTCCAAGCGCAAATTCCCTCCTTAACCTTTCATTCTCGCCTCGCCTCCTTCCTTTCCTTTACCCACTTTTCATCCTCTCTAGCTCTCTATTCTTTCCGTCGTCTCTTTAGCTGCTTTGCTGCCCAAAGAGGAGCTGAGCCATGGATTCCCTGAGCCAGCTGTCATGTTAAAACTTTAATTCCAGCTAAATTTCACACTCAGAGGCTTCATCTTTGGTTGAAGGAACATTAAGAGCGAAGTCTTCAGATCAGATTAAGATACATAATGCATGGCGGAGAAAAAGCCAGGGGGAGGAAATAACTTCATTGACTTGGTCTAAACATTTTGACTCCCTTTACTCATCCTGGATGCTCCTTTTCTATGTGCTTCTGACAACACAGAAGTAGATGAATTTTCATTTCATTTTCCTTTTGCAGCTGCTGCAGACACACAAAATCCTTTCCAATGCCAAATTGCTCAGTCGTCCCAACACCGAAGCACGCACAGCCATACACTATTTCCCCCAATACGTATCTTACCCTTCTGTCACTGCCCCAAATATACACACAGCAAATATGCTCCCAAGCCAGGGCTCATGCAGATGTAGAGACACACATACACAAGTGTAATACAGTGAGAACTCCACTCACACACAACAACATCAGAATAAATCCACTTAAGATCAATAATTCACATTTCTTAAAACGCTTTAATTCTCTATAGAAAACCGAAATGCAATTTCCCTCTCTGCTTTGTCGGAAAAGTTTTAGAACGACCAGACGCTCGGGAAGCGGAGGCATCACAGATTATAAAGGCATGCTGTGCTGAAAATGGGACATTCGAGGAGAGAGGAGAGGAGCAGAAAGGAGAGGAGAGGAAAGGAAAAATTGTACATTACATCCTAGTAAGGATATACTAAAAATAGATTATAGTAAATGTTGTATTTTACAATGTTGTAATATATTGTAATTGTAATGTATGTCTTATAAGAGATGGATCTCCCATGTCTCATGATTTATTCATGAGACATGAACCCAACATGACCCTTTTAGCTTTTTCTGATGTAACACAATTATAAGAATTAATTATAAATCACATAAACATGCAATTTGTTCGAGAAAATGCAAAAGCTTTATTTTCCTTATGGGTATAAACCCCCATGTAAGTGGTAATTAAAGAAAGAGAAAAAAATACAGTTGGGGTTATAAAAACCTGTCGAGGGGTAGGAGAAAATACACATAAGAGTGACTAAGAAAAGGGACAGGGAGAAAAGAGAATGAAGAGAAACCCGGGGGAGAGCATAGCACAGATAAATGTGGAGTTTAAAGGTGTCCTTTGTTTTGTTTTTTATTGTTATTGCCGGCCTGCTAATTGGGAGTCTGATTTCACAGTGTACCAGTTGAGATGGGAGTTGAAGTGGTGTGAAGCAGAAGCCACAAACCTATAACTGTCAAGTGGCCTTTCAGACGCACTGCACAAACTGGCAGCATGGAAAATTGGAAAAAGGGTGGAATGGGAAACTATGCTGTAGTTACAGAACCAATTACAAGTTTGTGCGAGCGGTGTCTGCATGTATGTGTGCATGTGGCTACATCACTACCACTTCACAAGATATATCACTGCCGAGTAAGGGCTAAGGCGATTTAGTGGGAAATGAAAAAAAATATCCAGGAGATCATAGTTGATGTTTTTCCAAATACTTGCTATCACAAAGAAATCCGAAGAGAGTAAAAATGAATGGTTTTATACCCTCCACACACACTCCTTAAAGTATATTATAAAGCCTTGAATATTTGATTGCATTATTTGATTTAAATAATAATCAAAATCATTTTGTTCTAATGGATGACACACACACACACACACACACACACACACACACACACACACACACACACACACACACACACAC